CTCACAGCAAAAAGGTCTCTGGTTTGAGCCTCAGCTGGCGTTTCTGTGTGGAGTTTGCATGTTCTCCCTGTGTTGGTGGGTTTCCTCCAAGTCCAACGACCTGCGCTATAGGTGAATTGGGAAGGCTAAATTAACCACAGCGTGTGTGTGAATGAGTGTGTATGAGAGTGTGGATGCTTCCCAGTGATGGGTTGCAGCTGTGAGGGCATTTGCTGCGTAAAACATATGCTGGATAAGTTGGTGTAATATATGTATGTATCAATGATTATTTATAAATGATTAAAGTCATTAATTTCCTCTAATGTTTTGTTGTTTTTGTCTGTCCAGTGTAGATCATGGAGGGCATTTCAGGATCACACATGGAATGCGAAAATGTATGTCTACAAACACACACAAATATACATATCTTTGCATATTTAATTATTTTAATGAGTTATTTGGCAGTTTTTAAACCTGTCCTGGAAGCACTTCCAGCGCTATTTATATCTCCCTCATCTAAAGCCCAGCGAATAGTCCTGTACAGTTATAGCTGTATTCTCTCTCCTTGTGTGCAGATGCCTGTAGTCTCTCACTGGATCCAAACACAGCACACACTCGCGTGATTGTGTCTGAGGACAACAGAAGGGGAACGCATGTGAGAGATCATCAGCCGTATCCTGATCATCCAGACAGATTTGAGAACTATGAGCAGATTCTGAGTGCAGAGACTCTGACTGGACGCTGTTACTGGGAGGCTAAGTTGACAGGCTGGGGTCACGCAGCGGTGGCATATAAAGGGATCCAGAGGAAAGGAGGAATTGACTGTCGCTTCGGTCTTAATAATAAGTCCTGGAATCTGTACTTTTGCGATACGATTTTCTCTGCGTGGCATGATGGGAAGGCTAACAGCACACCTATTCCTCCCTCTTCCTCTTTATCCAATAGAGTAGGGGTCTATCTAGATGTGTCGTCAGGTCGTCTGTCCTTTTACAGCATCTCTGACGCACACACACTCACACACATATACACGTTCAACACTACATTCACTGAACCCCTCTATGCAGGATTTGGGTTTTACAACGATTCTGAAGTCTCTCTGTGTCAGATTTAAAAGCCTCATCACATGTACACAGTTTACAAACCACCGGACTAACATTTCACAATTCTTAAAAATGTCATCTTTCTTTCTTGAAGTTCTTGCATGCATCTAAATATTGACTTTTTGTTGTTTATATGTATTTTTTTTATTTTCATTAGATAACAGAGGTGCTTATTTAAGAGAAAATTTGCTGTTTTAAATAAAACATGCAGGACGAAGACGTTTACATATTATTCAGTGTATTTGTCTGTTTAAACATGCACCCGAATCCCAAAGTGTCCTGCCCTTTTGCTCCTCTGTAAATGGCGTGTACAGAAGCTGATCTAGGATAATATTGTACGAAGCTCATCTGTCAGTCAGCGCTTATACATGCATTCACTGGATCAGAGGTTGCATATGAAAGGTGACGATTGATGCACAGCTTTAATGTGAAGAAAGTGATTTTAATTTTGATGTCAGCGTGCTTTCAAGACTAAAAATATATCAGAAATATGGGAAGATACTTAATGATAGGATGATAGTGGGATAGAATGGTAAAGTACAGGAGAATTTCGGCAAAAACATGCTATAGGGGAATCTCTAGCACCACCGCATTTGCTCTTTAACAATTTAGTACACAGAATATCTCAGTAAACAGAACTTTTGATCATTGACAACAAAGATGTATTTTAGATAAAGGTCCTACTATCATGAACACGTCTTACCTATCATTGTTGATAACACAAACTGAGGAAAATATGGTGCACTATGATATGCCAAGAGGCTCAAACAACACAAAAGAACATCAGAAAACAGTGTCATAGCGACATCTTGTGGACAAAACAAACCCTGCCCTACATTTATATGAATGAAGTGAACAGGAAGTGTTTGTGGAGAAACATTTTTGCGAGGGAACACAAAAAAACTTTAAAATATGTTTTCCTATCACTCTTTTTTTTCCATCCAGTTTTTGTTTCTTCCACCATTTTTTTCCCCACCATCACGTCCCTTCCGGGTCTCCGTAGTGAAGGGACGTGATGGTGGAGAAAAAAATGGGTGGAAAAAAAAAAACGAGTGATAGGTAAGCATTTTTTTTTGCCGGCATTCTCCCGTATTTTACCATTGTTCTATTATTAGGTATTTTCCATATTTTCTCATATTTTTATTCCTGGAGAATCCCGGCAAAAACAGGAGGGTTGTTATGTATGTAGTGAAGTGTTTGTCGAATAGTTTTACGAGGGAACGCAAACACTTTCAAAAATCACTCAATTTTGTTTTTTTTTTCCCACACATTTTTTTTCCACTCATTTCATTAAAAAAGAAATATTAATGAAAATAAAAAATGCCCAAATGAGGATTTAACTTAAATATTATTGTGCTTTCAAATCACTGTAGGCATTCTGCATATTAAACTGCCTTAAACATCAAACGGAGACGAATTTACAAAACTCCAGCACATGTCATCTAGCGTAGCGCCATCTAGTGTTCACACTGAAAATACACCCATTTAAATCAATAAAAGCTGTAAAAATCCCCTCCTGCAGGAAGGACGCAGATATCAAAAATCAAGGTATTCATCTTTTTTTCTTTCATTTATTTATTTATTTTGAAATGTTTAATCAGGTGTGGCTCAGTGGTCAGCACTGTGGCCTCATCACCGTAAGAAGGTCGCTGGTTCGAGTCCCGGCTGGGTCAGTTGGCATTTCTGTGTGGAGTTTGCATGTCCTCTCCGTGTTGGTGTGGGTTTGCTCAGGGTGCTCCGGTTTCCCCCACAGTCCAAACACATGCGCTATAGGGGAACTGGATTAATTAAATTGTCCGTAGTGTATGAGTGTGTGTGTGAATGAGCGTGTATCAGTGTTTCCCATACTGGGTTGCAGCTGGAAGGGCATGCGCTGTGTAAAACATATGCTGGAATAGTTGGTGGTTCAATCCACTGTGGTGATCTCTGATGAATAAAGGGACTAAGCTAGGCATGTCCAAACTCGGTCCTGGAGGGCCGGTGTCCTGCAAAGTTTAGTTCCAACCCCAATCCCGCCTGGGCTAGCTAATCAAGCTTTTATTAGGCTTTCTAGAAACATCCTTGCAGGTGTGTTGAGGCAAGTTGGAGCTAAAATCTGCAGAACACCAGGACCTCCAGGACCGACTAAGCTGAACGAAAATAAATGAAAGAATAAATTGATAAGAATCAAATCATCGTAAAAACATGTTTTAAAAAATGCATATAAAAGGGCGTGGCTTAGATAGGAGGTCCCGCCCTAAAAGGGGGCGGGATTAGACAGGAAGTCATCACTCATCTTGAAAGTAGCACCATCATAAATTCTCTCTCCAGTTGTTCAATCTTCTCCAGCAGCTCAGTGACCTGATTCGGATTGTTTCTATCCTGATTGTTCACCGTGTGAAATTTTCCACCACAGCTGTCAATCAGTAACTTTAGATCCAGACTTTGTCTAATATAATCATCCATAGATTCATCCGTCAGCAAATCAACATGAGTGAACAGAACCATGGTATAACGAACAGCTTCTTCTCCAAAGTTCTCCTGAATCCACTTGACAGTGTTTGCGTCTTCATCTGTGTGTCTGCCATTGGGCCTCATGACCAGCAGAAACACGTTCGGACCCGGAGCACACTTCTCCAGGTATTTCTCTATATCCTGCTTGAGTTTGTTCTGTAAATGCTTGTACCACCTGACGTTTAACAGTCCAGGGGTGTCGATTACTGAGATGTTTCTTCCTGAAATCACCGCATTTCTTCTCTCACATGTTTGAGTGGATGAGAGAAAACTGACTCTGAAGGCATCTCTTCCCAAAATAGTGTTTCCTGTTGAGCTCTTTCCTGATCCGGTTTTACCAAGAAGAACAATCCTCAAATTCTCTAGAGGAGAAAACATATAGGTGGTTAGTTATAAATTTACACTTCAAATTAATCATTTCAAATGAAATGTTCAGACTTAGTAAGCAATGTTTGTTTCTTTTTCTTTATTTTGATAGCAATCTGATTTTTGGCTTTTGCCAAAACAAGGATTTCTCTGAACTGTCAAAACACCTCTCAAAACATTTTATAATAGATGCAAAAACGAAGAAAATCTAACCGAAGCGGTTAACTTATTTATTTATTTATTTATTTATTGACAGACGAATGTTTCGGATGTTAAGTAAATGTGATTCACACAAAATGAGGTGTCATTTATTTTTTAATGTGGAAAAAAAATCTAACAAAGTTTGCAATAAGCTTCTGTGTACATAGAAATAAATGTTATGTTTTTTCTTTGTTTTGTTTTGTTTTTGTATTGCTTTTCTTTTGTTTTTGGTTTCTTTTTGCTTTAGTTTTGTTTTCCTTTGCATTGTTTTCATCTAATTTGTTTTGCTTTGTTTTTTTTTTTTTTTTTTTTTTTTGCTTTGATTTACTTTCCTCTGTTTTGTTTTGATTTGTTTTGCATAGATTTTTTTTTCTTTTTTGTTTTGTTTTGTTATTTTTATTTCTCTTTGTTTTGCTTTGCTTTCCTCTGTTTTGTTTTGATTTGTTTTGGTTTGCTTTGCTTTGCTTTGTTTTAATTAGCTTGGATTTATTTTCCTGTTATGTTTTAATTTGTTTTGCTTTGTTTTGTTTTTATTTCTCTTTATTTTGCTTTGATTTGTTTTCCTCTCTTTTGTTTTGATTTGTTTTGCTTTGTTTTGATTTTATTCTCTTTGTTTTGCTTTGATTTGTTTTCTTTTGCTTTGCTTTGTTTTCCTCTGTTTTGATTGGCTTTGATTTGATTTGTTTTGCTTTGTTTTATTTTGATTTGTTTTGCTTTGTTTTTCTCTGCTTTGCTTTGTTTTCCAGTGTTTGTTTTGATTTGTTTTGCTTTGCTTTGTTTTCCTCTGTTTTGATTTGATTTGCTTTGTTTTGTTGTGCTTTGTTTTGCTTTGTTTTGTTGTGCTTTGTTTTGTTTTTATTTGTTTTGCTTTGTTTTCCTCTGCCTCGCTTTCCAGTGTTTTGTTTTGATTTTATTTCTCTTTGTTTTGCTTTGTTTTGCTTTGCTTTGTTTTATTTTTCTTAATTTTCGTTTGCATTGTCTCCCTTTAAATGGCTTTTCCTTGTTTTGCTGTTGGTTTTGTTTTCTTTTGCATTGCTTTTCTTTTGCTGTGCTGTTTTGTTTTGCATTGATTTGCTTTGCTTTTGTTTTGTTTTTGTTTTCCTTTGCATTGCTTTCCTTTTTTCTTTGTTTTGCTTTGCTTTGCTTAATTTTGTATTTTGTTTTTCTATGCATTGCTTTCCTTTGTTTTTTTTTGTTGTTTTTTTTCCACCCATTCCAGTATATATGTTTGAAATTATTTGTGCATCATTATTTCACATGAGAAACATTACCTGATAACGGTGCAGTGCGATCTGAATCCAGTGGCACGGCTGTTGAGGCCGTCTGCGAGATGGATTTGCCTTCACCCACTGATCCAATCACATTTGATCGAAAACCTTTAGAATTTACTATTGATGAAAACGGTTGTAATATTTATAAAAACGATTATAATAAATTCTACAAATGTAAACAAGATTAGTACGTACATCCAGGGTTAGGGCTTTTCTCTGCTTCTGTTTTCTGTCCCACAGAAGCATCTGCCTTCACTTTCTGCAAATATCTGCTAACTGCATCTGTCATGATTGTTTTGTATTAATAATCTAAAACTCATCAGCATGCAAGCAAACAGTGTCTAATTTAAATGCATTTATTTGATATGCTTATATTTGATATTACTTATATAAATAGATTTGTCATATGAACCACATGTATAACAATTATTAGGGTTATATAAAGCTGATGTTACATGGAGCAGCGTTTTGAGCAATGATGCTGAGCAATAATGTTTAAATGGTGTCATATATGGGCAACCAGCTGAAACACAGAGTAGGGAAATTGGTGATAGGTGCATTCTTAATAGGAAAGTAGCCAAGCAACATAGCACTGCAAAATTGCCCGGCAGCATTGCTCAAAAAGTTGCTCTGTGTACTTTCCTTTCACAGCTCACCTTTATGGGAGGAGATTAATGGTATTTATGCTATTATTTAACGCTTGCAAAAGCATATCTGAATTTTTTTTCAGCTAGCTTATGCTTGACTAACCATTGGCAATTTATTCTTACAAAAATATTTACATTTAAAATATGTATACTGCACATAAAAAAGCTTACCTGGATCTTCACTCTGCTTGCAACCAGTCATTCTCTCCACTTTGGTTTTAGTTTTAATGTCCTTGTCAATATTTATTTGAGCTTCCAGCCTTTTTGGCTCTCCTTGTGTTACTCTCTCGTTCTTCTCTTGTCTTTGGCTAATCGGTTTGATCTCACTGCTGTAGTGTTGTCCTCTGTTCATCTTCACCATTTCATCAATGCTCTTAAAAAGTTTTGCGACGTGTTTTAAATCACATTCAGCTTTGCTGTTCATCTCATGAAATCTCCCTTTAAAGTTGCTCAGTATTTTCTGCGCTTTTTCACTTGTAATAATTCGAGTCCATTCTCTTCTGGAGAACTTTTCCTTTCCAATGAACAGCACCATTGTGAACTTCAATGCTTTTTCTCCAAAGCTCTCCAGGATTTCCTGCACAATGTTCCTGTGGTCGTCTGTGAAGTTCTCCAGGTTGATGATGAGCAGGAACACATGAGGTCCAGGAGAACAGAGATCCAGGCTCTTCATCATCTCCTTCTGCAGCTCTTCATCAGTCAGGTGAGTGTTGAAGAATCCTGGAGTGTCGATGATGGAGATGTTTCTGCCTTCTACTCTTCCTCTCTGCACCTCACTCTCTCTCGTTCTGCCCTCTTTAAACACATCTTCATCCAGTATTGCGTTTCCCATTGAACTCTTTCCAGCTCCACAGACTCCCAGCAGCACAATCCTCACATCAGGTTTATTACCTGTCAGACAGGTATGTCATTATCTAGAGATGTTAAGCATGTCTGAACGCTTCTGTGAGCTGTTGTTTCTAAGTTTGAAGTATGCTTCTTTTTAGTATACAGCTTAGTGAATTTTAAAGGCTTAATTAGGCAAGTTAGGGTAAATAGGCACGTCATTGTTTTACAGTGGATCATTCTGTCGACTATCCAAAACAAATATTGCTTAAGGGGGCTAAAAATATTGACCTTAAAATAGGCTTAAAAAATTAAAAGCTGCTTTTATTCCTGCCGAAATAAAACAAATAAGAATTTCTTCAGAAGAAAAAATATTATAGGAAATATTGTAAAAAATTCCTGAATCTGTTAAACATAATTTGGGAAATATTTAAGAGGAAGAAAATAATTCACAGTAGGGTGAAAAATTTTGCCATTAACTGTATATATATATATATATATATATATATATATATATATTTATATATATACAGACAAACACAAAATAACAATATGTATATGTATATATATATATATATAGATATATATA